TGTGGTGTGATAACAGTTAATTATGAATAGAGTCCAAATACAGAGTCGTTTTTACTGCTGTGTAGCATCTTTTTGGAAGAGGCATGTGTCTCATTCTTGTCTGACATGATATCCTAGCTGCTCAGTCTTGATCCTAATATTTTTCACATAATCGTGAAATGTCTCAGTTTAGACATCTGATATGTTTTCTATTCTTTATAAAATCAGTGTTTGTGAGATTTGGAAATGGTTGCATTCTGTTTTTATTGACATTTTACGCAGCATCCCAACATTTTTTGCAGCTGGGGTTGTATGGCATGGCTATAATAAATGCTTATAGTTGTGCAAAAGCTCACCAATTTGCAAAAGTGAAAGATTTAGGTTTATGACAAAGAGGGTAACGGGACACGTCTATATCCTGCAGCTGTTCAAAAGTAAACTGCCATTCAGTTACATACAAACAATCAAGTTTCACTATTATGTTTCTGAGCTTAATATGAACCCACAGAACAAGGCACAGTTTCAATCCTAGGTTTCCTTCCCTTAACATGAATTAAATTTAACAGCAATTTTTGACACATTTCTAGAGCTCATCCACTATAAACTCACACCTGCCTCGCCTCCCCTCTCCTGTATGTATGTATGTATCCTTTCTGGGGGCAGACTAGCACACAGCACATATCAGACTGTGTATTGTACTGACCTGAACGTCCGCACCAGGTTGTTCAGGTCGGTAGTGATGTCAATCATGGTGAGATGCAGTGGACCTACAATGTTTCTGAGGCTGCACAGCACAACCACAAGACAAGAGAGCAAAGAATTAAGATGAACTGATCATGAAAATCATGATTATTGTGCAGCCATGTCAAACTGTGCAGCAGTGAGGTTCACGGGACCTTCACAGCTGTTGAAGAAAAACCAGGAAAAGAAATTAATAAGGCTCCGTGTGCCACATCCAAGAAATAAAGGACAAACACGCACCAGCTGGAGAGTTTCTCCACTGTGATTCGTTTCTGGATGAGGTTCTGAGCATGAGAGTCAACGAGCGGCAGGACCGGATCCTTGATGCTTTCCTGGACTGTCACCTGGTGTGGGGACGGTTTAAGAACAAAACTCACTCTGTGAGCTCACCTAATTTAAACTCAAACTCTTAAAGCAAGTCTTTTGCACTTACCTGCTTTCTATTGGGCTCCTCTTTCTCGTCAGGCAGAATCCACGTGCCCTTATAAAATTCCCTGACCCGGAGCTCCAGATCCTGGGTCTCCCTCCGCAGCGTGTCATAGTTTGGAGCTGCAGCTGACGGCCTCTTCTTGTCCTCGCTGTTGTCGGCTGTCACCTCATCCTCAAGGTCATCTTCATCCAACTCCTCTTTGCCTTCTTCTTCTCTTACCTCGGCATAGGGAGAACCAAGGGAGTGATCGGAGCCGTACAGGAACGTTAACGTCTCATCGGTACACCACTCCTTCAATGTGTTTTTTAGGCAATCGAGCAGATTCATCCGTACAGAGTCAGGTTTGACTTCGGCGTGGTTCTTCAGTAGACCTCGCAGCCCAGCTGCCCCCCTCTTGCTCATACCCACCTGCGTGATGTTGAGCTCTTGCTGGCCGTGGCTGTTCTGATTAGTGGCAGGAATTTGTTTACTTTCTGTTGGAGGGTTTGAGCGAGGAACGCTGTGAGCTACCGTCTCTGATAAACTGCACACGCTCATCTCAGCTGTAGTCTCTTCCACACCAGAAAGCTCAGACAACTCTCTCTCTTGTGATGCCGCCTGGTCCGTATGTGTCACCTGCCGCTCTTTGGGTTTTTCAGCATCGGTAACTTCAGTTTTACGCACGTCTGCCTCTTTTCTTTCCTCATCTTCTATCATACTTCTCTGTTCCTCTGTATTTTGAGTCTGAGGAGGTTCGATCTTTTCTTCATTCCCCTCTTTGGTGTTTATCTTTCTTGTTTCAGAATTCCTTTGTTGTCCTTTCTCATTCTCATCTGAGCATTTAGGCAGGTCACCCCAGTGGACCCGGGGTCTCTGCTGCTGAGAGACCACGCTGGAGACAAAGTCCTGCTCATGTTCGTCGTCACTGACATCACTGTGGCTGCCTCCAGCAGGATGATCCTGAGAGCCGTGAAGCTCCTCGTGCTGAGCAGCCACAGGGTTCTCGACGTCATCCTCTTTTAGACACCTCTCAGACAGCATCACCTCCTCACCAGAGCTCCCACTGAATGCACACATGTAACCCTGGATCAGTCTTTCTATTTATGAGGCTAAATATGGAAAACTAAACATGAAACTTATTACGTACCGTTCTCCTTGCTTCAACAACTTAATTTCAGGAGGACTGAGAGAGAGAAAGGGAGCAAAAGACATTATACAGAACATCACTGCATTCAATGATTAGCTCAATCAGGTGATTTAGGACAGAGATGAGAAGCAGCACACACACACCTCTCATGTTGCCCAACCCAAAGAGGCGTCTTTGGTATTTGTAGCTCAAACGCTTTGGAGGCTTTGTAGCAGAAATTACTGCAAAAACACTAAAGACAAAAGAAGCAAAGACCAAAATGTGTCTTTAAGCGCATTCTGGCAAGTGTAAAAAAACAAACAAAAAAAAACTATTTCATGTAGAAACACTCACCTTGCGCTCTGTGATGTCATACACTTTATTGGTCTTAGTAGAAATTTTGTATTGTTGAGATGGGATCTAGAAAGTGAACAGCACCACAGACTCAGTCATCACATATGAGACATGGAGATGTTTATTATTTGCAAACAAAATGCAATATCAGTGGCCTTACCTTGCCCAGTTTATTAGGACAGATGGGATAACCGCACAGCTTAGCAATAGACCTCTCCTCTACAGTATCTCTGTAATTAGCTGGGGTGATCATTTTGGCCTGTGAAGTAAAGAGAACTCTGTTACTTTGCAGATTTTCTCTGGTTTAAATTTGTGTAAAATTAATATTGCTTGACATTTTAAATTATCTGAATATTGACAGAAAACCTGCATGTAATCTAAAGTCTGTCATCAGAAATGGAAAAAAAAGTGTGTGTTTACACAGCGTATCTCAGCTGCCATAGGGTGAGAGGCAGAGTCCACCCTAGACTGGTTGCCAGTCCATCACAAAGCTAACACACAGATACAGGCAACCATTCACAGCTCCGACCAGCTAACCAATTATGGATGCATTTGGTCTGTGACAGGAAGCCTGAGTATCTGGAGGGAATCCACACAGACACAGGGGGAACAAACTCCACACAGAAAGGCACTACAGAATGAGATTATGGGTTAGCGAGTTATGTCGAACTTGAAGTCAGAATTTTCTGTGCCACAAAAGTGTCTCTCTTTTCACCTGGCTACATCACCATGGTAACTAATGCCGGATACATTAAGTTGTTTATTTTATCCTTCTAAGCACTATATGCCATGATTGACATTTTTCCACAGCATTAATATCTTGCGTTGTCTGTAACAGTTTTGCATTTTATTGTAATATTTTTGCTGTTCGTTAGAGACTTTTGACAGCATTTTATCCTTATCACCTTATAGTCTGATTAGACAGCATTCACAGGGATCATTCTGTGTGGAAGAAGAGTAGAATATGACATCCCGTAACAACAAGCCTAGTTAAAGAAAGGTGATAACCATCATGATGTCCATTATCTCCGACTGGGGTTTTAAGCTTTGTCAACAGCTAACGCAAACAAAGCCTGGCTGTAGTGAACTTAGCATACTCCTCAGGTCCTTGTTGCTGTGAGGCAATGGCACTGCTACCAGTGAGGCGGTGTATTCAAATTCCTAACAAGTCTAAATAGCATGCTAGAGCCAGGCTGCGTTATACTGGGCCAATGGCAAAACCTCAATCATAGGGATGTCATGGCGATTATAAACCCTGGAAACTGCAGATTGGGCCATGTTCTGAGACTGTGAGATTCTAATTAATCGTGGCAGACATGGTGTGTGAATAAAAGAGACGGGTTTAGTATGACAGAGGCTTGGCAGTGATGTAAGGGTAACAGGACCTGTGCGTGAGAGCAGTGAGGAAAGACTTCGTCTCCTGGTTTGCCTAAAGCTTGTGCCCTGTCTAAAGTCACCGGTGACACATACACAGTCCACTAGGAAGTCCTCAGCCACACTGTCGTCCAGGAGCCGCTCCACCACCTTCAAAGCTCTCTTCTCCAGCTCCAACTTCTCCCTCAGCTTCTCCTTCAGCTCCTCTCTCCTGACACAAAGCACACACGTGAAGAAGTGTCTGTGTTTACTCCACAACCAACAAATGTTTGGTAATGATTACTGGTGCAGCTGAAGCGTCCAGTAGAGATGTCCTGGTGGAGTAGGGGTTTCTCACCTTCTCGCTTCTTCCTCCGCGGTGAGTGCTTTGACACGTTTCCCACCTGCCTCACAAACAACAACAAAAATTGAATATACGAGTTAAACGAATCTCTGAAGGAAGAAATGTCGTTACTCTACCAACCAACCAACCAACGGCTACACAAGCCAGCTGTGAGCGCTCTGAGATCCGTGTAACCCTCCACAACGCTGTAAACACCTCTCTAAAACCCGAGAAACAAAAAACAGGCTTTTAACGAACCCTTTTTGGAGCTCCCGCTCCTTTTTCTCTCATCCATCTCCATGCTGTTTCTGTTTTCTACACTTTCAACTTTGACCTGTGACGTATCTCCATCTACGGCAAGCCAGGGGGACAATTTCACGTTCGCGCGGTGCGTCCGTAGTGTGTAGTGTGTGTGTGTGTTTTTTTTTTTTTTTCACCGGGCTGTTTGTGGAAGTTGAGCTGAGGTACGTGTCCCCTTCACCTCGGTCCCGTTTGCGTCCACACCACCGGCTCTTTTCGTGGCGGTGAATTTGTTTGGCTAGCCACTGTTCGGCTAATTCGGAGCGGGGTTAGCATCCCTGCTGCTCTGCTGTGTTTACAGTCACACAGGCACAGAACTTAACCTCTGACACCTTTGGACCTGTTTTTTTTTTATATACTTGAAGTTTCCCCTGTTTTTGAGGACTTCTGCATGAGGACAACACCCGTATGAAGACAGCAGGGATGGCTCTGGAGCAGCTCAGTGAGGTGGTCCAAAGATGTGTAAGTATTCAGTGGTACTTGTAACCCACATCCACTCCTTCATTCTGATATCAATTCCCTAAACAGCATGTTGGCACAGTCACTGGCACCAACCTGGATGCTGGTACCCACAGACAGTGTTGCCAACTCCTCAGTAAGGAAAATCGCTATTGGCTGTCCTAAAAGTCGCTAGAAGTCGCTAAATGATGTCATCGCCTAATTTGCATAATTGGTCATGCTAATCTAATTGTTGGAGAGAGAAATAACATCGTGGAAGAGACATCAAGTGAGGAAAAAACGTCCTAAATGCATTTAGAGTTTATTTAGAACTACAAATTAGATTTCTTTTAGCAATTATTGTTTTTTTTTAATGTCACAATTCCAACCCTGCTTCTTTACCCGGGCTTGGACCGGCAAGTGACCCGAAATAGGCACTCTGGCGGAGTTACTTTGTGTGTGTGTGTGTGTGTTTATAAGTAGTTTTAAACCTTGTGATCCATAAAACGGCATAAGAGTAAAAGAAGAACTGACTGCGTTACAGCACCCGCTGCTTGTTGAGAGTAAAAG